TCTGTGTGTTTCGATCTGTTAATTATACTATCTACATACAAAAGCAGATTTTTAGATATGAGCAATGCAGTTTCTCTTTCTTCATAAATTTAGTTCCTTATGAAATTTTATCTAATACACATATTCTTACAGATTATTTGCGATGTTGTTCAGACTTAAATTTCAGAAAATTATTTACCAATTTAGTATTTTATTTTTATTGGCCTCGCTTACTTCTAGCATTTCAACATTCTATTTTTTATATTCTATACTATCTTTATATATATGTTCTAAAATATGTTCTACACTATCTTTTTATATGTGTTCTATACTATTTTTAATATATTTATTCTATACTGCCTTACAATATACCCTTCTATCCAATAGATCTTTTTGCTCTTTACAACTAATTTCTTCATTTCTCTTTTTCCCCCAAATCTACTCTTCTCCAATTCTTATCTTGCTTTTTAATGCTAATTTAATTCAAACTCAATTCAACAATTCAAATTCTATTTAATTTCAAACTAACTATTTTTAAATTCTACTTCATTTTTCTTTTTTTTTGTAATTTCAAATCAAATTAAATTGTACTAAATTTTAACTCCACATTACAATTTTTTATGTCATTGCCAAGAATCGATCCGAGGATCGCTAGCGTATGAGTCAGGCACGCTGCTGACTGAGCAATTCCTGCCAATAATTTAGCATTTATCCAGTTCCATGATGGTGTGGAACCTATGGATTGACATATTATTTATACTTCAAAATCCACAAATGAGGATTTTTAATTTTCTTATTTTTGTTACATTGTCAATGTCTAATAAATTTCTACATTAGACATAATCTTAAAATATTTGTCTTATCTAATACCTCGCAATATTAATTCGATAGCCATTTCATTTTTTTTCCATTATTGTCCAACACATCACATTACAAAACTTTCCAAATTCTTTTTCTCCGTTCTTCAGATTAGATAGTTTTATTATTAGTATAAATATATCAATTGTGTATTTACTTAAGTTAATTTAATATAAGTCTGTTCAGTTATATTTCGGCCAAGACGTTGTTGATTGGTTAAGCATTTACTATGTATGTGTGTATATAATGATATTAGCGTCTAATTTGTTTGCTCTGTTTTTAAATGGTTTATGTTTAATTTGTGCTTTTATATTTCGAACCGTTGTGAAAAAGAATCATTGACTAGCCAGCCTATATCAAGTATTAATATAAATTAAACATAATACTTACGAACATTATTAATATGAATCAAAAATATAGTACGAGGTCAATAATGCATTAGTGATACAGTAATTAGCGTGTGTTGCATATTGGTAAAAAGTTCAGGAACTGCGTAATTATGAAAAAAGGCAACAAATTACAAAACTGCATTTCGCAGATTACATATTCAACAACTTTCATTATTTGTAAATATTATCATATAAAACGAAATAATATAAACGGGCGGCATTTCCATGGATAAATTTAATACGGCTGCTGTAGTAAATGCCGCAAGACTTTCGTTGACGATGTTGACATTGGTTATAGCTGGTAATAACACGTGTAACACACGATTGTGAGGATAAGATTACGGCTCCGAACGGTGTGAGACATCCCTCATTCGTACGAAATGAACACGCACTCTTGTAATGCTGCAGATGAACAATGCTTATTTTCAACTGGTAACACATTTGGGTTCCATATTTTTAATTGAAAATTAAAATCACCGTTTCATGATGTCAGGTTGTGCAAATTTCATGTCTAAACCTTGTAGTCGGAAAGCAGGACGTTTAACCACAACCCTTAGCAATACCTTAATAATAAGAAAACAATAGTCTGCCCGAAGGCAAGTCCATGGTATAAGATCACCACAAATCAATGATTCCCTTTCCCTCCCCTGTTTAATATTCTCATTGCCATTTTAATACCATTAATCACTTTTTATACATTCTTATGAATTTTCCTTTCCAAACTTCTATTTCCAGGCTTTCTGATCATGTGCTTCGTTTTACAGTTCCCTGTATTTTCTCTTCTGGCGTAAGCCATTAATCTGCATTTTTTTTCTTGTCCTTTTAATTATTCTATTTAGATTTGAATAAGTCGTGTAAGGAGGCACTCTTTTTGCAGAATGGGTCCGATCCAGTTTCCTTTCCTTTTAACGATCGTGCTCAGTTAATTTTCGCCGACAGAACTTCTTCATTTATTACCTTATTTGTCCATTCTATATTCTCCATTCGTCTCCAGCACTACATTTCAAAACTCTCCAAATAGTTTTTGTCGGTCTTTCTTAGAGTCCATGTCTCTGATCCGTAAAGAACTATGCTCCAGATATAAGACTATTATTACCATACAGCTATAATATATTGGTTTAAAAATAGGATATGAATTATGCATTACATTATGTTTTTATATATAAAAATAGAGCTCGATAAAATGTTAGGTATACGTAAACTCTAAAACGGCTGAACGGATTTAGACAATTTTAGTCTTGAAATATTTGTGCTAATCAAGAGATTGTGCAAAAGGTGAAAAATTATTTCAAAACCGCATAGAAACTTTACATTTTTAAATTAAAATTTTGTATAGAAGGGTAATTCAAAATGAAACATTCGACTGCGACTCATACGTCAAATATGAAATGGTACTGACAGATAGATTATGTACAATGTAGTGTTTTAGATGAATATTATTTAATTTGCTGGGTCAGCTAGTACATTTTAAAACATGTAGTTTTTTTAAAAAAGTGTATTTGATATACGTACGTTTCGACTAAAATCCTAGCCTTCATTCAGTAGAAAACAAAGATTGATATCACTATATTAAAAATAAAAACACTAACATTCCATGATATGATGAGCACTATGGTAATATTTTTTTGGCATCACAGTCAACAGAAATAAACAGGAATAACAATTATTAGAAAATCGCAAAATGTGTACTCTGTCCCTGTGTACTCTAATCACAAGACTTTCTATTATCTTATCTTAATGTTGTTATATTTAAGGATATCAAAGTTTATTATCCACTGAATGAAAGCTCCACATTACATGAGGGATGTTAACTGAAACGCATATAAATAAAAATTCGCTATTTTTCAATTTAGTGTTGAAAACCAAATTTTGTCACTGAAAACTATTTGACATACAATAAGAGAGCGTTTTGATGTAAGTCCATATCTAAAAAACATTGTTTTAACATCTTTGCATTAATCTTCATATTAATTTAGTATTACATTCGTTAATTTTTTTCTAGTTAAGTATGTCAATGCGATGATTACGATTTCCTCTAGCAAATTACATCGTGTATACAAATTTTCATTCTCTTTGAAATATTTGTCAATTCGTGAATTAGGATCAACTAAAAAGTGTTTATTTATGTTATCTCGGAATAAGTTTTTTTTATTTGGTCGCGCGATGATTGAAAATCATTAAGATCACGTTTACGGGCAGAATAATAACATTGAAGAGAACGTCTCCGTCATATGTTCGGGGTGATTAGTGCGGAGCATCTCGTCAGAAAAAAATAGAATGTCTGATTCTGTAGGAAGATCGTGGTGCTCTATGTATAAAACACTACTTGATGAACGATCAATCAAAGCGCAGGTTGAATGCTCCCATCCATTTCCAATGAGATTGTTAACAGATCCGCTCCTGCGAACTCATTCAATACCACATTTAATTCCGTTCAAGTAAAATAGAGTCGTAAAGATGTACATACGTGTTTCCTAATTGCTTGTTTATTATTCATTATCACTGACAAATTAAATCATCACGTGTTATTTGAAACATATGTTCCTTGGATTAAGTCAAATTTTTATTAATTTTAAAGTCCCAAAACTTTTCAATAAACAAAAGACATTTTTACATACACCTATATCCCGTTTTACACGTTTTTGATCTCACGCGGTTTTTGAAAATGATTTCTTTAACGAAGTTTATTAATTTTGTATTTATACGAAATTCTAAAGAATAACTTTGTAAATTCTAACTACAACTTGTTTATATCTACAATAACATTTTCATTGTTTTACTGTCAAAATACAATACTACAAAATTACTACGAATTCATAGTAGTCTATGTCTATGATGGAAACATGTAGATAATATGGAAACTACCCGTTTTATGATCAAATCTAAATTATATGTGTGTTAAAATATTAATATTAAACAAACTAGCCTATACTGTGTATAGGCTAGTTTGTTTGAAATACCTAAACAAAGAGCATCATTTTTTTAACTTTATTTTCAATTGGTGTTTATATATAATCGATAGCGTTAATTCATTTTATGTGAGAAAATAACCTAATTATTTTTTACAAAATCTATAATTAATAAAAGAAACTTTATAGTTTGACAATGACAAAGGAAAAAAAATAAAAAAGAAGTTAAAAGAAAGGTTATATCTTTACAAACCAAAATTGAAATTTTGAATCGTCTTCTAATAATAAAAGAATCATGTATGTTGCTATTTTTTATGCTATGAATGAAGCTCCAATTTATTTAATTGTTCAATGTGTTTGTTATTCATCATATTCAAAACTAACAAAAAGGGCTTGTTTATACCGATTTTCATTTAGCACATTTTTTCTATATAAGAATGAGATTTTGAAGTTACGCGGTTTTTTATGGAACCTATCTTTCATGTAAAGGGGTATTAATTATAGAAGAAACAACAATTCCGATATGCACAAAATACAAAATACGTCTCGTTCGTGAAATAAAAACATTTTCCAAATTATTAACTAATACCATGTAAACTATGTCTTTTTGTTGAATATGTTTTCTATCTATACCCCACCCCATTACGTATGTATAAATTTCAAGTCCCAAAACTATTAAATTCATATTGAATGAAATTCATTATGAAACTTGACCGATAATTAAAAATCGTTGTGATTAAATGCGGCCCTGGTTGATGCATATCATTATTTATATGCTGTGATTTATAATATGAAAGGTATTGGTGGACGTATCTAACTCGTTTTGTTTAATGCGTTGTTAACAAGCATTTAATTTGCAATAGAAATGATTATATCTGGCTCTACGAAATTGGTCAGGCCCATACGATTAGTATTTTGACGGTTTTATTCGATATATGATAGTATGATACATAATCGAACTTAACTAAATTTGCTATTGCGTTTATGTTTATTCCCTTATTTCAATTTTCAGTACATTATTTAATAAATAATAACAGTTTATTTAAGTTGTATAGTACATATCTTATAAATTGTTTTGTCGATATTTTTTGCCATATATATTTAAAGCATAATTTTCTTTTTTTTCAGCTGTATGAAATTAATGATGACCCCAAACGAAAAGAATTCTTAGATGATCTCTTTCAATTTATGCAGAAACGAGGTAAGTTTTTCTTTTCTTCGATAATATAATTCACACGTTAATCACCACGATATGAGAAATTTTTTCACATGGACGATGGTAACTTTATTAGATACGTTAGTTAAAATGTATTAAGGACAATTTTCTTATTTGTCAAATTCCTAGAAGAACATTATTTTTTATGTCACACATGTATGACTGACATGTTCTAATATCAATCTTTCCACTCGCTAATTCCGAGATTTATATGAATTTGGCCGCCGGCGGCATCCGAGTGGTAAGGGTTAAAACATTTTTTCTCGAAATTTCTTGTAATAAGCCAAGAAATTTTCAGGTTTTGTTCCTGACAGGCCAACCTGTAATCGATGTGGCTTTATACCAAAAACGCGTATGTTAGACATATATGTAGAGCTTTTTTGTGTGAGACACATGACTGACATGGCGATTAACGTGTTAATTAAAACCAGATAATTCATTGAATTCACAAAACACATCAATATGTCACAAAGCGGCCACATAGCCTGCTCATATTTAAATATCTATATCTTTCCTATACTCCATAAAAATATTTGATTTTAATATGCATTTGTATTAAAAGGTATGTTGTAACAGAATATTAAAAAAAGCGTTATATATTTTATATATATATATATATATATATATATATATATATATATTTTATATATATAATTTTGGCATTTGGAAAACAGAAAAAAAGATATATTAAATGTTCTTCTCAGTAATCGTTATATAGGGTGTCCCAGACCTTGACGTCAATCAAAACAGGGTGATATTATTGACCTAAAACTATCGTGAAAAAATTAGAGAAAAAAGTTATCTCACGTTGTTTGGAAATTTTGAGCTTTTAAGTGCAACTTAGAGCTTTGGTTATTATTGTATAACTTTTATTAATTTTGTTCACTTACTTTGGAACCGTAACTGTGAAACGATTGCCCCCGTTTTCAAGAATTAACCCTTTTTGTTGAACTAGAATAATCTTATACATAATCATATTGTTTTCATGCGGAACTCGATGCGCTAGTGATAGATTTCGATCGATTTTTAACTTTTTTAATTTCGCGTCTCTCGACTAATAAACTCCAGAGTTGTCTATGTAGTAATGTTTCAAGATCTATACAAGTTATTAATAAATCTGTAGAGCCCCCAGTACAAGATCGAGCTCAGAGCGTGGGCGAAGATGATGGTGTACACACGGCATTTGTCTTGAAAATCGCTTCAACTTAGGGCACGTTTCCATGAACCATGCGAACATTAGTAATTAATCATTTAATCGAGGGTTAAAGAAAGTATCAGAATATAATTATCATGAAATTTTAAAATTACTAGAACTAAATATTCCAATAAATAATAGGAAAAAATGAAAAAATATTCATTAATGACAGTATTATACAGATCTTTTTGTAAGGCAACGATACATAGTTTTGTGTATCCGATGTGTTTTACAATCATAATCAGTAATTTTTTAAGTTAATGATAAAAATCTAAAAATGCAAAAACAAACGATCATGGATACACAAACTTGACATATACGTGTACATGATGTATACCTCGTTTTATTACATTTACAAAAGAATTTATTGCAGTATGAAGATGCGCGTAAATCGTTTACAATTTAATAGTGTCAATCCCAAGCTGGCCTTGAAGAAGTTGATATGCGTCACATTGATTTAGTTATCACTTTTAGAACTAAAATGTGTTTCATATTCCCATCATAAACGTTAGTTTGCTTTTGCCATTCTTGCCAACAGAAAACTGACCACACGTATATATTTGATCATTAATTTTAATTTTAACACAAATTTAATCATCTCTTTTCGCACGTCTGATGCATGTTATTATTAACTATGATATATTTCATCTTAAATACTAGTCTTTAATAAATATTAAAATCTTCAATTATAACAATACCTCAAAATATAATAACTATATTAACCCTCTACGGGCCCGCGTAACTTTTAGATTTCATTAAATAATTATAGCTTTTCTCATGAGATGACGTATAAATCTTACTTCCATAATTTTGTCAAACAAGCAATATCAATATTTATTACATTTGCTACGCTTTTCAACCAGAAATAAAATTTTAAAACACAGAAGTTCAAACTTGTGACTTGAAGGTCGCATAACAAAAAAAAATTGTTTAAAAAGAATTTTTGCTTTCCGTTTGCATCATATATGGCTCATACTGGTTTTTTGCTTACCTAACTTTTGTGGATGTAAAACAAATTTAGCCCATAAAGGTCACTTTTATTAAATAATTTCATAATTATTGTTAATTCATTTACTTATAATCTATTGCCCAAGTCACTAAAATTGTCTATCGTAACTTTACTCAGGATACTTTTCAAAATCGTCTAGAATTCGTGGAAGACTTTTCCATGTACAACATTTTATGAATTTACTGTTTTACAGGTAATTTATTTATAGATTTATGATTACTGATGCAATATTCTTATAGGCTTATAATCATTGTTAGTTTTCGGTTTTGAAGCAGAGGTAATTCGATCGGTTTACAACGTTATTTTTGACATTATTGGTAATAGAAACTTTTATGGCAGAAATATTTATACATTTGAGGTAAAAGCAGGCAAACGAGCATCTACTTACTACTTATACATAATAAAAACACACACATATAAGATACTTTATATATAATATGCAATGTATGAACTGGTGGTACATGGCATCGCTCTAAGGCAAATTGCTGGCTTCTCGTACCGTAATTTAGAATTTTTAAAAGCTTTAATTTTTGTTGAGAATTTATTTTTTGAGATTTTTTGAAAATTATGAATTATTTTTAACATTTTTTATAATTTGACGTTTTTTTAATTTCCATTTTTTTTTTTTTTTTTGAAAATTTCGGATATTTTTCACAGCGATCACGAAGTCGCTAGACCTGCTTTATTGAATAAATGCTTAGTTCGGCAATACAACTGAAATATTTTTTGAATCATTCAAATCGGATGCTTCGTTCTCTCAAAACTGAATTGAAAACTGAAGTTTTTGCCCGTATCTTCAATAAGGCTGAACCTGTCTTTGCCAAAACTAATCAGCACGTCTCCTAGTCAAAAGAATTCAATGCTTATTAAATCATTTAAATCGGTTGATCCGTGCTCTCGAAATTGTGGACAAAAAATTGCGTACACAAAAATACGCTCAGACAGATTCATCCATTTTTTTAAAGGCATGCCAAAATGTTCAGAAACCAATGAAACGTGAAGATTTTTTTCAAAAATTTTCATTTTATAATTATTCGAGATTACTACAACTTACCCTAAAAGAATTTAAAAATAAACCTATTCAGCTTTATAGCTTTATATTTATATAATTGAACGCATGCTGATTTAGGTATTTTGTTCAAATCAGGACTGAAAATGCAATCTTCCGTATTTTCGTAGATAGTTTGGGTAGTCGTTATTATAAAAGATATTTAAGTTTATTATTGATATTTTAAGTTGAAAAGAAATATTTTAAAATTATAGCCTTATGATGCGAACGACACGTACGTTCAAGTTTTAGTCTCACTAGAGGCTGGACAATAGGGCGCAGAAATAGCTTTAAAAAATAAAATAGCTTTTAAAAATAAAATTGAATATTATTAGAATTGGCAAACAAAGGCCTATTTCGTAGTATCTAATACCAGGTCGTCTCTACCTCTGTGTCTGTGTCTGTCTGCTAGTGTATGAATAAAATTGAATATGATTAGAAATCAGTAAAAAAAATTAAATTGCTAATTATAATAATACATAGTATGCGTTGGTCGAATTGATATCAAGTCGTCTTTCCACCTCTGTGTTTGTTTGTGTCAGTGTCTGGTGGGCGGTTTCGCGAGATGGGCGTGCGAGCACACGAGTACTTTGTATGGTAGCTTCGCTATATTCTGTTAAAGATACGCATTCGTCATATGCGTTTGCTGATTATGCTGCGCTTTTAACATGTCGCCGACTTGAAAGTTTTGCACCGTCCGCGACTATAGAACGTTGACCTAACACACTGTTGCGTTCCCATGCTGTAAAATGGACTTACATATGCTTACCTTATTGTTTTTCTAAGAAAGACCGTGAATGTGATTTGCTTACAATTTGTCCTTTGCGGATATTATGCTTTGTTTTGCGTCGCACAATGTAGACTAGAGTTGTTGAATAAACGATCATTTGTTCTATGCTAGCTTTACAACTTTTAATACGTTTTTTGTTATCTGCGTAAATCTATCTCACGAACATATTAATCTACATAGCTGCTTATGTATGATCTTCGATCTAGAATAATTAGTAATTTATACAGAACAAACATTAATTAGTGCTAAACCTTGATTTTATTCAACGAATGTATGTGATGACAGACAACGAGAATGTTCGTATTGTATTCTCATAGTCAATAAAGCAACATAAAAACAATTATCCGGTTCATTTTTCATTTTTACAACAATTCTTTTTAATTTATATCATTCATAGTTTCAATTATATACTACAGGTTAGTAATGTAACTAGCTCTTGTATCGTTTTTCTCAATCCATTGGTATCAAAATCGTGAGCTTTTAAGCTACCACCGAACAGAATGCAGAAGTAATGTTTATTATGATTGTTTTGTCATTGAGGCTGGGAAGTTTGAAAGCCGGCGATATGTGTGATTTGCTTCGCACATATATGGCTTGTTGCACTATCGAACCGTGTTCGCTAAACAATAACATCTCAACATTGTTGCTAAATTTATTACAATATTTATAGTTATACATTACCTTCTGCTCTTTTGTTTACATCGTATTGTTAATATTCAGCATTATATACAAGACTACGTCGACTAATTAATTGACAAAGAGAAATTACTATATATACTTTCGTCACTGCGCACAACAATGATTTTGTACCAAACTCAAAATACTGTACACAATTATAAGGTATACAATTATTAACATGCACACACTATCGTTGTACATAAATATTGTTGCGTGGTAAATAGTTTATGCAGAAATATAACGCAAACATAACCGACCGGCGAAG